TAGATTTTTTACATACATATTTAATTTTGTTGGCATTTTTCAAGTATTATTTGTAGAATTGCATCTCTTTTTGGTTACTTGTTTTAATTTCACTTCTTAAATACATTTTAAAGTAGTAAATGACGTTTTTTTCAAAGAAAAGCATTTGCGGTGATGATGATGAAAGATTTTAAAAGGCGCGCCTGCTGGAGGGTTAAATTGTGCTTTTCTTATAAACCTGGTTATAGAAAATATTCTTACCAGTAAACAGCAAACATTCACCTTTTTGTCTGTTCCAGCATGCAACTCCGACTCAATTTCAAATCAGCTGTTTTTTACACTGCTGCCAGTGTTGAGCATCTATAGCTCATAGCAACTTCGGCCCAATATAAAATTTCAAAAAGTAGCTTCAATATGCCTAATCTATCTACAGCTGTAAATACCCAGGAGTTTTAGATTTCATTTTGCATAAATTCAAAAACACCAGTCATGTCTTTCAGGTGATTTTAGACGCAGAGATACGCGAAGTCTTTGTTTATACCTAAAATGAGGGTCTATGTCAACTATGCGTGAAAATAGTTGTTTACGATTGTCCACTGTCATTTTAACCTTCAAAACATATTTCTGGGCTCAGCTCACCGCTTAATTTGGCTTCAATCCCAATTTTATTTAAAAACTAACGTATTTTTTAACAACAATTAACTAAACAACTTTTTTTTGATCTACTTCAAGCCCCTGGTAACAGTGGCCTTCCACTCGAAGCGTTGTTTCTGTTCAGTTGGGCGGTTTTTTGCCGGACTTTCTTTTCCTAGCAAATCTGGATGATAAATTGGAAAACATGATAGCTGCCTCAGACCCATTGGTAATAATTAACATCATTGTTGCATGAATTGTAAGTTTTTACAATGATTTCCAGGAGTTCATTCCCTGTGGTCGGCAGCAAGTTGCTCGTCACCCAGGGCCGGTAGAAACAATCTCTAAACATACAGACTTCGAAGACTATCTGCGAAATGGTATGGAAAAGGTGTCCCTTTCCGAAGATGGGACCAAGGAATTTTGGAGTTTGAGTAAGGCCAAAGATGACCAATTTCTGCCCATGTAAGACAATGTTCAAAAATCTTAACAGTTTTATGTTAATTAATTAGTAGTTTGATAATTATCTAGATGATCAGGTCTTTGCGTTCACCGTTAGCACATGCTCGTCTTATAGATAATCCCTTTTCCAACAACTTTTCTTAGTGGTATTTTTTTGCAAAAATGTGGGTTTTGACCACTTTTCATTCATTTAATTTCAGTACTTGTCCTTAATTAAGATAACAAAGGACACCATCAGTGGAGGAGTTTGTTCTTGTCTCAAAACTTGCCAGATTTTCACTAAAATAGCAAATCTCTAGCTGAATTCTCATTGGTAAAAAGAAAAAAGCAGTTAAACACCCTAGCCAATACTGCCAAAACAAGCACTAAAATAATCGAAATTAAACCAAATACCTACAAAACGTGTCTAGATACCCCTACCTACCCAAAGATAAATAAAATATAGATTAAGCAAATGCTCGACAGTCTTCGGACTCCGTCGCACCAAAATCTGTGAGAGGGAGTTGATAATATGAAAAATCGGCATGACCCATCAATTTTATTTATAAGGGGTACACTTTAAATGAATATTTTTGGCCTCCTTATTTCAATCCCCTAGGAGGCTAGATGTCACCATAAGAATCTTAAATGGGACGGGGGGTCAAGTGGCACATTGTTTTAAAGGGCGTTCAATTCTCTTTACAGTTTTTGGTTTTACAGAAACAATTGTATTGGGCCTCCTTGTAGGTAATTCAAATGATTAGAAAAGTAGGTTACAAAATCGTTGAATAACAGGAAGAAAATCTAGTTTAAACATTGATTTCTTATTTTTAATTTTGATCTTATTTCTTATTTATTAATTATTTTACATCGACAAAAATAACTTTTTAATAGCGGATGAGAAATACCTACAATAAAACCTGTATCATCTACTTACGCACTATCCTAGAACTTGTTCAAGTGTTGTCAATTTTCCTCTAAGCAATAATGTCTGTTTTTTAACTCTTCCATAACATTTCGGAAAACTTCACCTGGAATTGACCGGCAGTCTGCTGCAATTCGCCTTTTAAGATCAATATCAGAAGGTTGTGTTTTATAAACAATGGACTTAGGATGCCCCCAAAGAAAGAAGTCTAAAGGTGTTCAATCTGTTGATCTTCGAGGCCATTCAATTGGTCTCCTTCTGCCAATCGATCTTCCGGGAATATCTTATCAATGTTAGGGAGGGTTCGAAAATAGACATTATTATTGTTTACAGGAAAATAGACAACATTTTGAACAACTTAAAAGGTAGTGCGTAAGTAGACCCCCTGGGTTTTATTGTAAAAATTTCTTCTCCGTAAATAAAAAGTTATTTTTCTCGAAGTAAAATAATCAATAAATCAGAAATCAATTATTTATACTATGTTTTAACAGTGTAACTGAATATTCTAATCATTTGTACTAAGTATACGGAGACCCAATGACATAAGTTTTGTTTAAACACTAATATGGAAACCACACAATCTCAATGCAGGCAAGTTTAATTGTTCTTGTAATTTTTTAAAACGCGATTATTCGAACACTTCTGAACAAAAAGCAACAAAGTAGTAACTAGTGTAAAGATAATTGAACGCCCTTTAAAACGATGTGCCCCCTTACCCATTTAAGATTCTAAGGGTGACATCTACCCGCCTTGGGGGGTTGAAACAAGAAGGCTAAAAATATTCATTGTGTTCTTACAAATAAAATTCACGGGTTTTTTACCGTCCGGTCTCCGATTTTTCATATTTTAAATCGCAAGCAATATATTGAGGGTGGGAAGTTTTCAAATTGGCACCCGGTATGATCCCAAATAGTGCCAGTACTTCATATTCTATTCATGCGGAATGTTACTCTTTTGTTACTTTAGAACTCACGTAGAAATACGGGAAGATTCATGCAATTGAATGTTAGTCATAATTTGTAAAATATGGCTTGGAAAATAATGGTTCCATGCGAATTCGCGTCTTTCTCTATCAGAATTAAGAATATTGGAACAGGGCAGTGGGAGGATACAACGAAATATATGAAATGACGACAAAGACATATCCAAAGCAATGGAAGTCCTCATAAACACTTTTTTGTATTAATTAATTTCAGTGTCGACAATGAAGAAGTGCCCGCACTGAAATTGAATAAAACTTGTAAAAGTAACACATTTTCGTCAGTTTCTAAACACCAGATGCTTAGTGGTGTCTTATTGGAAGAAACTACTAGTTTTAAAACGACAGAGAGTAGCCTCTATCAAAAGATTACGAGTAAAAGATCTTTGGATGCCAGCGTTAGATTTCCTAATAAACGATTCTCTTCTGGAACGATGGATAAGAGGAATGATTCGAAATATAGTGAAGATTTCAGCAAAAGCCGGGGTATTTTTATTCTAATGTCTGTGAAGCTTGAATGCTATTTATTATTTCAAGGTAACTCTGTGAGTCCTGAGCCTTCGAGCCCACACACTCCCATTAATCGTGTTGCTATAGAAGATGAGCTTTATGTAAAAGGGCAAATCGCAGTGTGGTCTCGAGGAGTTTTGAGTGATAATGAACATGATAATGGAAGGAAGGTACCTAAATATAAAAATTTCCAGCAGTTAACAATTGTTTTTAAAGTGCATATGTAGAATTATTCTACTTTTAGGTGATATGTTGCTACTCAATTCCACTACCGATAAAACAAGCTTTGTGGGCAACTTTCTATTGCGAAAGGCCGACTTTTGAGCCGAATTTAACAGATTTATATTCCAAGATAGATAAACCATGCGGTATGAAAATATTACGGAAATTTCCGAACTGACTCCATACAAATAAATTAATAAATTAATCCTTTATAGGGGTACCAAATCCTGCAGTATGTATTATAGACTCGCACCATGTGAGAGTGTTTATTGTGAAAGGCGAACATTTTGTAATACCAATGCCGTTTCCTATAGAGAAAGTATGGAGTTCAAAGTTCGGTATTTTAATTGAAAAAGGGCTCGATAGTAGGTGTATTAACAAACGTTCAGTATAACTTTTTATGATTGATTTTTTTGCAGATGCAAATTATAATGAAAACAGTTCAGCAGATAATTCTGGAACTTTATTCTCATTAGCCTATCCTCTTGACGATGTATGTCCAGTGGCAGTTTCTCGAAATTCGGCAATTACGAAATTAACCAGTACAAATTATAAAGTGGTTTATACTAGTGAGAATCCGAGTATCTGTTTGATATTCGATAAACAGACCAAAGAACACAGCGTTTATAAAATTCGCAAAGTGAAATGCGACGAACGGGATTATGGGGACAATCAGAGTGGTTGTCACAGTGTAGCGTTCAATTCAAATCGCGTAAGAAACTCTTGTTATCCCATGCCTCATAAAAATCACATTAAATTATCAATTAAATATTTATTATTCCAACTAATGGACTCTGATCCAATGTGATTCACTGCAAGTTAGTGATATAATAGTTGTTTAATTTTCCAGCTTAAAAGTAAATTATCCATGTGGGAAAATCTTATGACAAGTGGTAGTATAGTTACTCCTAGTCCTATTAGCACAAATAAGCAGGCTTCGAGTGATAAACATTTGAATACTCACAAATCAAAGTCATTCAGTTCAATGGCTACAATAAGGTAAGGAAACATCCAGTTATTTTCAAAGTAATGCAATTTTCTTGTAATTAAGAAAAAAGTAAGAAAATATATTTTTATTCAAACTAAGCATGGTTTAGTGCTTGGTATGAAATAACATACATGCAATTGATATAAATATCAGCAATGAAAAATGTTTATTAATTATTTCAGTCGTTGTCAGTCACCTGGAAATATGGACATGGACAGTCCATGGGTAAATCAATCTTCCAAAAAGAGTATTATAAATAGAAGTACAACGCAAAACCCAGATAGTTTATTGTCGAAATCATACTTCAATTCTTCAAAATGTATGTCTCATTTAAGATCGAACCCTAATATATGTTTGGAGTATTTATGGACTGATACTTATTCAGTACAGTAAGTATAATTCTGATTTAGTTTAACTTAACAAAGTATTGTTTGTAGTTCTTATAACGCATGTAATACTGCTCAATGTTTTTTCAGGGATACTCTTACAGGTTCGCCCGCTACCACAGTATTTCTCACGGAAGATTTCGTTGGCCAGTGGTATCTGTGCTATGTATTACCTTCGCGGTTTCAACTTTCAATCGTAAAGATCGACTTTTCAGGCTCACATATAAGTTTTGGCGTTTTAACGAGTATCAGTGCAAAGGATGCCATTGAACTTCCGGTATTATAGTTACACATTTCTTATTTCAATCATGTTTTGAATAAAAGTGTATTCAAATTTGTTGCTCAATTTAAATTTGCTTTCACTGAATAATAAACAGTTTGTCTAATAATTATTTTTTTTGTATATAGCAATTACATATGTTGGCCATTTTGGAGCACAATGGAAACGTTACGCTTTACTCGGGGCTTACTATGGTAGGAAAATTGCACATAAATGGAACGTTATTGCAACATACTCCTATGCCGCCCGCTGGTAGACAAAACGAGGTATCACCCTTTCCTCGGTAAGAGTTATTTACAATATCATGTACAAATTAATTCCTGGAAATTTTACGTGTGAATCTTAACTTCTAGACGCAGTAGTCTGCTGCCAATGTCAAGACAAGCGGAACCAAAATTCGATGAGCATCTTTTATCCCCAGTTTTACCATCATATTCACAAAATCAAGAGTATATTTTACCAGCCGGTGGACATCCAACGCCATTGCGATATAGATTTCAAGATCGTAAGTAAATACATACTTACACCTCAGATTAAGCAGATACATTTGGTTCCGTTTTTCGTTTGGAGCAACAATGACAATCTGACCTAACTGTTATTAGCAAAAAATATATGGCTCCTCAGCTATTTATGGTCAGTCCTTCAAAAAATTTGTCTTTTTTGAAATATCGGGAGAATGGTTCCATGTATTTTAGCGAAACTTGCTGTGAATTTGTTCTTATATAAGACTCATATTTTGATAAAACACTCGAGTTCCGCCGTTTTGGAGAAGCGGTGAATTCTTAAGTGTCGTGGTACAAAAACTACCAGAACTTTTTATTTGGTGGATGGAATCAACTCATTTTTTTGGATGGTTCACTAATAATTTATTCACAATGTTGTGCTCTTTGTAAAATCTTGTAGCATTCGTAGTTTTTGCGCAAAAAATATGTCTGTTTTCTTGCCACTTAAAAATGTTAGTAATTCACATATCAAGCGAATTTCTGATATTGCTTATTATGCAAACTTATATTGTTTTTCCATTTGAGTATCGAAAAGTTAGTTACCTGAAGGTTCCGCTCTGGGAACTGGACCACCTTGTATATTAAAACATTCTATTACGAATGTGCAATGCACTAATCGATTTTTTATACACTTTTATTTTTTATTGCCATTTTTTATTCGCCAAGTAAAAATGTTAATAATTGAGATGGAGTTTTAACATTATTCAGTCTATCGTTCAATTGCGTAAGTGTTTGAGTCATATCATTGCCGATCTCTTGAGAACTTCTTTTTTCTTTTTTAAATGTCTGTTTCTGTTGCTGTTGGTCGCTATCAAGGTGGTATTTTAATACATTTTGATCGTTTCTAGTCTGAAAATGGTTACCGATATTGAAATGCGGTTTGAACATGAAAGTTTCTAATTTCGCAAACTTTTAGTATTGCAAACGAAGTACTGACGTGTCGTTTTTTCTGAAAAGGTTTAGTATGTTGAAAAAGCCGTTGAACAATCAGCAACATTTCTGTCCTAACCGCAATTCAACATCAAATTATAGATAACCATAGGTTCAACCTTAAATGCACTTTTTTAATATATTTTTTTCAAGTTTTAATATTAAAAAACTGACAAAATTTTGGAGTGTTTGATGCGCCACGCCAATTTTCGTTCCTTATTTGAATAAGCGACTGTGGTTACCTGTATGTTTAGGAAACGAAAGTTTTTAAAGAGTTCCATGCGATTCCGAACGTAATCTTACCAAAATGCATAACACTGGCCAATCGCGCTCTGCTCGCGTTGTACGTCTGGACGCGGCACTACGTTGTATTGTAGTTTTTTTTTGTTAAGAAAATGAATTGCATTTTTCGGAAAATCCAAATATTGCAATTTTTTTGTTCGGGTGAACGGGTATGAATTTTTAGGAAATCGCTTGTGATTTCAGAAGGCTGCAGACTTTTTCGGTCTGTGCATCCCAACATTCAACTTGCATGCAACTTAATTAATACACGTGCCAACTTTTCTGGTGCGCTAGTTTTATTGGCACCACTAAATCCATGCATGTGTAAACGCGCCGTAATGCAGGATTGTACTTACTCGCCTATTAACAAACCCATATAAGAAATTTGAAATATAAAGAAAATCGATTTCCAATTACAAAAATTTATATTGTAATTGGATAGGCTCTTTTTTTTACAGGTGCAGGAAAGAAAGCCGTTCTTGTGGGCCTTATAGATTCCGTTGAAAACCGCTTGACTCTGAAATACTCCAATGGAACTTTCTATAGAATTACACTGTCCGTTATTACATATTCTGAATTAATCGAGTGTTGTCTAGTGGCTCTTAAACAATGTTTACCTAGAGATGCTGCTCTGGTTTTAGCGTGTAGGTGGTACTCTGCTCGACACGTAATTGGTTCTGAGGATCTAGACACTACTCAGGAATGGGACATTTTTACCAGTATTTTGTTTGGTATGTTTTACTTTAATACCTTATGAATTATGCTCGATTTGGACTTTTCAACGAAAAGGACCGGGTTGCAGAAATATTCTGTTTTAGAATTACTTGGTTATGAAGATGACCAAATATGCGATAAACCAGAAATCCCCGCCGTAAAACGACAGAAAACGTCGCCCTCCAGCGCAGTCGAAGATTGGTCCAATTTATTGAGCTCAGATATTGAAGTGCGAGACATTATTTGTGAAATGTTTAATTTACAAGTATCGCCAATCGTCGACAAACCGCCCAGTTCGAATACCTCAAAAATATCTGTTAATCCGAAAGGAATTTTATTTCCTCATCTTCGGAATATTCACTTCACTTTGCACCTTCTCTATGAAGACTTTAAACTCAATAACTTATATGGTCAGTGCGTGCTTCCTTTGGCAAAGCTTTTAAGCCAAATATCCATCAACTTGGGACTAAGAGATTATACATTGCACTATTGGAAGGATTTCCCAAAATATGTAGCGGTGAAAGGTCCAAAAATTGACGAAGCTCTATTCAAATGTTTTAACGTATGGCAAGGCATAAGCGAGAAACCTGTAAGTGTTATGGCTCATATATACAAATTGTTAAAAGGCCACAATTTGTTACCTTATCCACATTTCATGAATGTAAATGGAAGATCTCGGGATATTGTTCAAGTGAGTTACACACTCTATTTGAGAATTTTATATGATTGCTTCCAATGGATATTTACAGTTATGTGGGGTTCTTTCCCAATCAAACCGGGACGGATCATCGGAAATCTTACTCGATAGTTTCATAAGGGAACTTGCTCAGCCCATGCAGGACTCGTCTCACGTAAAGCATCAGAAAAGCAATACGGTAGATTGTAGTCTCAACGAACAGGTTGCTTTACTTATGGTTGATATGAAAATTGATACAAAGTAAGTGTTGGGTTCTCATGGAATTTGAAACAAACAGAGTGACCCTAATTTGTATAAATGGAAAAAGATAATTCTTAGTTTGTTTTGTGACTAAAGAGTCGAGGTATGTACGCTAACCTGTTTGCCCAGACCTGATTGTTCTTGTATGAAAAACTTTATATGTCCAACAAGGTTTTTTGTGTTTTTTTTTTAAACGCACGAAGTTTTAAATGTTTAGCCCACACTTAAAATACAGAGTGTTTTATTATCATACCGACTAGGTACATAAATTCACATATTTTTGCGTTATAGGCATATCCTAAACATGTCCTACAGCAAAGCGTTGGACATTTAATAAATAATATTTCATATTTTATTTTTTGGCATAGTTTTTAAACATTCCACATAAAACATTCTAATTCAAGGCAGAAAAAACCGATATGAGTCGATCACCGCACGTCAAGACCTGACTACTCTGACGTCACGAGGAACATTTCGATGTGAGAGTGAGTGAGAGCCGGCCTACTCTAGTTCTGTGGTATCTCACCGACTCGGCCTACTAGTGACTAACGTCACTCTAACGAGCAATCAGGCCTTGATTTGCGGTGGTGCCGGTCGAGAGCCCTTTGGTATGAATAAGAATTTTTTGCTACTACTACTACTACTACTAATTTTATTTAATGTTTTAATACATTTTATAAATTTTGCAAATCCAAATTATGCATGTTTTTCAGTAATTAAAACCGATTGCTTCATTTCAGCAACGTACTCATAGATAGTTATTGCCTAAAAATGCGGTTGCTGCAAATGTTTAAATTTTAGTGTTAATGCAACTAAAATGCTAAAATGTTCAGGGAAGCATCGAACTCTGTTGGACTAAAAATCAACACCAAAAAACCTCAATACATGACAAATCTTGTTATGATTGAGGTAATCAAGATAGGTGGAGCAAGCATAGAGCAAGTGAGCTCTTATAAATACCTTTGTCACGAAATCTCTATTGGTAGAGACAACCAGAGTAGGGTAAAATATCGAGAAAAATGGGCCTAACATGGGCGGCCTTTGGAAAGCTGCGCAATATCTTTAAGTCAGACATCCCAATATTCTCATGAAGAAAAGTTTTCGACCAGTGCATGTTGCCTGTGCTTACGAACGGGGCTGAAACACTTTCCTCACAAAACCTGAAACACCCTCACGTATCGCGCAGAGAAAAATGGAGAGATCGATGTTATCGTTAATAGACAGGATCCCAAATATAACATTAAGGGAAATGTCCGGGGTGACGGACGCGGTTGCCCGTGTAACAACCTTAACATGGAACTGGGCCGGTCATGTGGTGGAACTTTCGGACAATCGCTGGACAAAGAGGATACTTGAGTGGAGACCGCGCCAAGACGCAGACAGAAGTAGAGGCCGTCCACCAAGCAGATGCACCGACGACATCAAAAGGATAAAGACCAACTGAATAGAGGCAGCGCAGTATCGACAAAGGTGGAGAAAGCTACGGGAGGCCTATGTCCAGCAGTGGACGCGATTGGTCGTTTGATTAATTGAACTAAAAAGACAAGTTTTTTTTACGACGGAATGCTGTTGATTTTTTGTTAACTCCTGATTTAGCAAATTTAGTAAGTTTGTTCAAATTTTTCAGATATATCGAGACGCTCCCAATCGGCATATATTACTTGTTTTACAATACTCTATGGAGATGTAGAGAGAATCCTCCAACTGATTGGCCGTCAGAAGCTTACCGTTTAATTTGGCGAGATGATTTAGTTGCACAAGCTGGGAGAGTTGCAATGGTATTTATAAGATTTTCTGTTCTATTTGACGATTTTATATGAATTACCTAATGAAAAAATATTGGTACAAATGTATTGTAAAATTTGTTTAACAAACAAAACTACACGTTGAGCGAAATTCGCTGGCCCAGTTCTATTATAAGAAAGTAAAAACACTGAACAAATTAGTCTGAAAGTAGGTTGCCGTAATGTCCATTTTACACCAGCTTTGTAAATTGTATTATTTATTTTAAAACTGAAGTGTTCAAGCGATCGATTTTTATCTGAGAAACAGCTGTTTTGTTATTTCGAAAAGATTCTGTTAATTTAAAAAAATATATACCAAAAAGTAAATTTCCAAAACATATTAACATTCGGCTTAAAATATAATTTTTCTTGATCCCCAGATGGAAAGTACACAGTTTTGTCCCTGTTTTCTATAGCGAAAGAATCACTTTTACTCATTACAATGATATGACAAGACAATGTACATTTCCGCTCATTATTATAGACGAACAGTCAAGTTGTCAGTGTGCGTTGCAAAAGTTATTACTTTCCACAAGGGATGAAGAAAATTTAATTTTCTTGATCCCCTGGTGGAAAAAACGTAGTAAATCGTATACGAGGGACAAGAAAATATGAATTTTTCTCAAGAATAAAAGACTTTTATTTTTGACAATATCGAAAATTGTTATTAAAGCAAGCTGATTAAAGTTTAAAAGTAGGTTCAGATATCTAATTGCACCTATGAGCATGATCATCAAGTTTTGTAATTTTTGACTTAAGTTTTTTATTACTAATTTGACGAAAAAAGTTACTCCCCATAAAAAACATGTTGCAAAATGTAAAATACAATCATTGTTTTTACCTAGCTACAGTTACATTTGCATTGGTATTTTAGTTCAAAAAGAAAAAAAACATCCATATAATTGGAGGTTATTGCATATTCGAAAGTAGTTTTTTGTTCTGATTAACTTTTGTTAATAACAATTTTCGATATTGCCAAAAATAAAGGTACTTTCTTGAGCATAATTCATTTTCTGATATACCACGTAAACGACTGAAAAAAATTAGTATGTGATAGTTACATTTTAGATTTTGGAGCAAGCAGAAGTTTTTATGAAGAACTACTTTTTTGTGAAATGTATATATACATATATATAAATTAATGTATGTTTGTCTGTCCATAAAAACTCCAAATTTAACCATGATCGCACCGAGTTACAAGGCTGACATTCCGTAGGTTTCTTAGTTTATTGGAGAGTAACTTCCTGAGTCTTTTAGTTTTTAAGTTACAATTTACATGTAAAGCTATGGGAAACAGCTTAAAATTGCTTCAAAACGGCTTAACCTTCCAGCGGTTTAATAAAAAATTCCACTTATCAGAATCCACTTTCCAAAAATTAACTTATGTAGTTTTTCCTAAAATTATCTTTCAGCGAATTTTAAAAGAAAAACTGAAAATATAGTGTACCCAGCAGCACTTCAGCAAAATAGTTCAATTGTTTGTTTCGTTTATAGTTTTGTTTAACCACATTTGTATTAATCAAAAGTAGGTGAAGCCTATCAAATCAATTAAGTTCATTCATTAACCCAGTAGAGTCTCATTGTAAATTGCGTTAGCTAGCAGATCTTATAAACTACCAGATTCATCAAACGTTATTTCATTTTTTATTCCAACAGTGTGTGCTATTGACTGTTTTCGAAAAAAATGCACACGTAAGTACAGGTCAACGTGGGCAACGCCACGGGTCGCTCCGCTGGTTAATAATAAAAAAGTTTTCCATATGTTGCGAACTTGGGTAAACACACTGTATATAAAAATGAAAAATGTATGCAATATTTAAAAAAAGTCCCTCATGGTTTTAATTTTAATTATTCTAGGAGAATCACAAAGTGTTGAAAGCAAAAATAGATTTCTGTTTTCAATTGCAAGAAACAATTCCTAATACTACTAAGGAAATCCCTCATATAGATGGCATGGAAGACATTGATTGTAACTTAACCAGGATGATCTTCCGCGAAGACATTCGGTAACACTTCTTTGAAAAATCTATTGAGCGAATAAGCTTTTATTTGTTGCTGTATTTTATCACAGGATCATGGATGCCAGAAAAATGTTAGATAGTTCTCAGCCAGTCACGATAAATTTAACGCAACGACCAGACGTCTCCGATCATGATTTTATCGAGGAAGAAGAAAAACATTTATATGGAATTTGTATCAGAACATTGGCTCTGCCTATGGGAAGGTTAGTGAGAGGCTACTTTCTTCAGGAAATTTGTCAACATAATTTCACAGTTAAAACTTCAAATTCATCCAAACTTCTATACAAGAAAATAACTAACGTAATATAATACCGAATTTTTCTAGGGGCATGCTAACATTGCGCACAGCCACTCCAATTATAACAGAACCTTTGGCGGCTCCTGTTCTTTGCTTAACTGGCAAAGCTCCTGCCAAAGGAAACACCGTGAAGCTCAGCCACATTGATACACCGGCAAATATGAATTTGTGGCCGTTGTTTCATAATGGAGTTGCTAACGGCCTTCGAATAACTCCCGATGCCCAAAACATCGATAGCACATGGATTATTTTCAATAAACCGAAAAGTACAACAGTTTTAAAGTGGCTTGCCTTATTTGAAACTTTGTCTCATATTGGAAATTCATTGGGACTTTAAAATTCATTTTTGGTGACCTATAAACTATTCCGGGTGCTCCAAAGAGATCTTATTGCAACTTGTACGGTGAAAAAAACTTGAGTTTGATACGCACCTTTTATTGGGGGCACCCTGTAGAATTGGAACAAATTTTAATATGTGGTACATATTCAACTTTTTACACCCATTAATTTCCTTATGAGTTAGAACCTCGAATGAGGTGAGCTACCCTATACGTATATTAGGCTTCAATAAGTGTTATTTAGGTGGGGCAGATGCTCAGATGGAACATGCGGGATTTTTAATGGCATTAGGACTCAATGGACACCTAAAGAACTTAGTGGTAATGAGTACTTTTGAATACATAGAAAATTCGCATGAAATGACCAGCGTTGGAGTATTATTGGGTATGTTTAGGAACTTCTTTGAGGTCTAAATGTAGTAATAATTCCTTATCGATAAATGGACTTATAGGACTTTCGGCAGCTTTCCGAGGAACTTGCAATCACTACCTTTCCACGCTTCTCGCAATACATGTAGAAGCGTTATTACCTCCAACCACTATGGAACTAGATATTTCTCAAAATTTGCAAGTTGCTGGATTATTAGGTTTGGGGCTTTTATACCAACGCAGCGCACATAGACACATGACAGAGGTATGCATTGATAAGTTTTTTTTATACTTTACTTAACTAATTAATAATACATTTTTGACTTAGGTTTTATTGGCTGAAATTGGTAGACCACCAGGACCAGAAATGGAAAATAGCGTTGATAGAGAATCATACTCGTTAGCCGCTGGTTTAGCTTTAGGACTGGTGATGCTAAAGCATGGCGATCAACCAAAAGGAATGTCTGATTTAAGTGTATCAGACACGTTGCATTATTATATGGTCGGCGGTAATAAACGACCTGTAACAGGTAGTAAAAAATGCACATATTTCTGCAGTATTATTAATGATGTTGTGTATGCAGGATCACAAAAGGATAAATATAAAACGCCATCGTTCCAAATCCGAGAAGGTTCCTCGGTTAATCTAGATTTAACCGCTCCTGGGTCTACTTTGGCGCTTGGGTTAATGTATCTGGGAACTGGGAATAAGGCTGTAGCTGATTGGATGGCTCCTCCAGCAACTCAATATCTTTTGGACTCGGTCAGGCCCGACTTTTTAATGTTACGGATTTTATCCAGATGTAAGTTGATGTAAAAATTATCTTAATCTTGTAAAGGTTTAATGAGTAAGTGGTGTTGTTTTTCGTATTTAGCTCTTATATTGTGGGACCACATTGAACCATCAAAGGAATGGGTAATTGATCAAGTGCCAAGCTCAATTCGTCCTTACTGCATGGTCACTCCTACAAATACAGACGACACAGACTATGAGTCTATGAAGTAAGTGGACTTTTTAATTCCATTTTTTTAAGGTTGGAAACAAACAAGGTTATTTTCATTACATTGTTACGTAGCAGTTTTTTTCAGGTATTCATTTACATCTGTTAGTTATTAACAATTTATTGCAAAAAACGCGATTTTGTCTTTTTTGTTTATAACTTTGAAACTAATGGAGCAATCGGAATGCCCAAATGAGATGGCTTGTGAATCAAAATATCTACAAAATGAGAAGTCAAACACCTCAATCGAATCGAAAATCGAGGTTCTGAGAAATTTAGAAAACACCGGAAAATTGGGCGTTTTTTTGGAAAATTCATAGCTCTGTGATTAGCTAAAATTTTGAGCAAAAGTAGGGATTATAATGTTCTTTATTCCCGTGTAAATTTAAATATGTTTTCGGACAAATAAATATTACTCTTATTATATGTGCTAAGGGCGGGTGCTGTTAAATTATTAGTTTTCTGCAAATCGCGAGTCAAAGTTTGCAGTCCGTCTTTTTCCGGCAGGCCTGTAGGAGTTGCCGAGTACAAGATCGATTATAATTTCAAAAAAGTTTTCAGAAGTTGACATCGTGCACTACAAAACGTACATTTCAGTTTTTTGGTCAGTTGCCTAGAAGCATGCTTAAAACCGTACTAAAGTTCGCAAAAACCGGCGGAGTGGTGGGKGAATTTGAACATCCGGTAAATCCATAGCATAGCATTTTTGAGCTACCGTTTATATAGAAAACTAGGGTTATTTTCGGACCTAGAATATGCACTTAATATGTAATAATGTTCCCCATAAAACACCTTGTATTTTAATGTTTCCTATAATTTTTTGCTTTAAAAACGAAAATCTTTAGCTAAAAAGTGAAAACCGTGTAGGTTCCTCTCAACATATTTAAATTGCTTCTGCTTGGCTCACTCTTACTCTTCAAACGGCTGATAAAAAATAGTTTTTTGCTAGCTTTAACTTAAAACACATGCGGTAATTACTCGTTTTTTA